GTCACAGACGTCTCTTTCCTTAACGAGCTGAATGACTTTTATGCTCGCTTCGACAGTGACAGCAAGGAGACGGCCACCAATATCACACTCTCAGCAGACCACCAACCCCTCAAACTCACCTCCACAGATGTCTACACCGCATTGAGCCAGATCAACGCATGCAAGGCTGCTGGCCCCGACGGCATTCCTGGACCTGTGCTTAGGACATGTGCAGAGCAGCTCGCAGGGGTCTTCACAGACATTTTCAACCTGTCCCTCACCCAAGCAACTGTGCCAACATGCTTTAAGTCCACATCCATTGTGCCAGTGCCAAAACACTCCTCCCCGACGTGCCTGAATGACTACCGCACCGCAGCACTCACACCTATTGTTATGAAGTGCTTTGAGCGACTGGTCCTAGTTCACCTTAAGAACTGCCTCCCACCCACACTGGACCCACACCAATTTGCCTACCGTAGCAATAGGAGCACAGAGGATGCAGTATGCACAGTGCTGCACTCGGTACTCACACACTTGGACAATAACAACACATATGTACAGATGTTGTTTGCTGACTTCAGCTTAGCATTTAACACTGTCATTCCCTCCAAGCTGACCACTAAACTTGGAGACCTGGGCATTAACACCTCCCTCTGCAACTGGATTATGGAATTTCTGACCAGTCTCCAGCTTCAAGTTCCTAGGGACCAACATCGCGGAGGACCTGTCCTGGACCACAAACACCTACAGCCTGGTCAAGAAGGCTCACCAGCGCCTCTTCTTCCTTAGGACACTGAAGAAGAAAAAGTTGTCTTCAGCCATCCTGGAGAACTTCTACCGGTGTGCGATCGAGAACATCCTTTCCAGTTGTATCACAGTCTGGTATGGGATCTGCTTAGTTGCTGACCGCAAGGCACTGCAGAGGGTGGTGAAAACCGCCCAATGCATCACAGGGACACCACTTCCTGCTATTGAGGACATCCAGAGAAAACGCTGTCCACGTCGAGCTCGCAGCATTCTTAAGGACTCCTTTCACCCTGACCATGGACTGTTTAACCTCCTGCCCTCCGGGAGGCGCTTCAGGAGCCTCCGGTCAAAGACCAGCAGACTTAGGAACAGCTTTTTCCCTACAGTTGTCTCCTTATTGAGTTCTGCCTGCTGACTCCCCCATCCCCCCAACACACACACCACTACACTACACACTCCTCACCCCTCATCACTACATCTGGTTTACAAAAATAAAAAAACTGTTAAACTTGTTATTACTTGCACTACTGTCTGTACATCCAGAATACTGAATGATCCATTTGCACACTGGAATATTTTCTAGGCACTTTTTTGAATGTCCGTTGCACTAGGGGTTTGTACAGCTTAATGTATCGCTTACATATTCATTTGTAAATGATGTTCATATGTTCATACTTTTCTGCTTATAGTGTACATACACTTATTACATAATCCATGTGTATAGTATGTTCATAGTACACCTATCTGTATATCATGCTGATAGTATTTAAAAATCTGTAAATTATGTCCATAGTACTGCCTTATCTGTATATTTATTGTACATTTGTAACATATTGGAGACACTGTATATCCTGTACTTACTGCTTATTGCACTTCTGGTTAGATGCCCCCCCCCCCCCACATTGCTTCAGTCAGTATCCTGCTCACAAAGACACAATGTTATGTATTCTTATTAAGGGAGGAAGCTTTTACAGCTGTGGTTTACTGCCTCATCTGTCTGTGGCTGGGATCATGATGACCTCACCGTTTATCTACTTCATTCTCCTGCACTCCTTTTTCCTTCCCCTCCCTTTTCATGGGTTTGCAAGAGTCACGTACCCCCCATCTATCTCCTGTCTGACTCCCATAACAAATAGCTAACATTCCCCAGATCTGGAAGAATCTTCAAAAACTCTTCAAAATCAATTAACAGTGGACAAAAAGGTTTTTTAAAACAATGTGTGTCTGGATGTATTTTAATTGCACTTTATTAGTACTTCATGTTAAACTGATTTTTTTTTCTTTTTAAAATCCAAATGAGAATCTGTACATCTAATTAAAGGGCTTATCATGATAGAAGTTGAAGAATTGACTCTGATCTCGAACATTTTCTTGAACAGACGTTTAAAGCATTACGTCATAAGTGCCTCTAGTTAGACCATTAGAAGTCATTCATCATCATCTCAAATGTCAGATTATTGTACAATCAAAGGATTTACCAATCAAAATATTCAATTTCATATTCCCTACAGAATGACTCCCCCTGTGGTTATCCCTCCATAATTAATCATGCAACTTTGACTTTATATTGTAAAAGGAAATCCCAAGAGAAGCCTAAAAGTCAGTCCAGCATGAGCCAAAAAGAAAAAAGATTTGCTGGGAGCCCCGGTGACTAAAGTCTTTGTTCACACTTTAGTCTCTTCATGAAAAGACAAGCTAAAGGATGAGCCACATCGAAAGGAATCCAAGATCATGTTGCTGCATAGATTTTCACTCAAAAGCTTTGTGAGGAATCTCTGTTCTCTGTACAACAATGCAGAATTAGTACAATTCATTTTAGGTCTATACAAGCATTAACATAGCCCTATTAGCCTGTCTTGTATAGTGTTGGTTACCCAAACAGTATGTCATTATGTTTTGTTTTGTTGTTGTTTTTTTTGCCATTTTTTGACATGTTGCTGTTAATTTCCCCTTTTATTTTTTTTAATTAATTAATTAATTTATTTTATTTGCATGATAGACTTACACTAAAACTTGAAAAAAATAATACATTGGGAAACAACCCCTTTAAGTTGCTACATTACTTGGCAATCATAAACATATTTTATATTATATCATTGTAGCTTATAAATTGGTCTCTTGTGACTTACTGCCACAAGAACATTTTATGAACGTTTAAGTCTGTTAAAGTAAACTTCATGCAAATAACAAAATAAATACTTGAAGTGTCGGACTATCAGGATTTTGAGATAAAACCGATCCTTACAGACAAGTGCTGTACAGTAGCTTATTCCAACACACTGCACCAAACACCTGGTTTAAATCAGAGGAGGGCCACAGCCAGAATGTGCAATGTTTTCCCCTGTTGCTGCTCTGTAAACATTTAGATAATAGTATGAGGCTACCATTGTCTAAACCACTTACAGCCTCCTGCATCTACTCACCTAGAAGTATTTATCTGTTTATTTTGTTGTAGGAAGCAATCCGAGCAAATGTCTTTAGATTAACCAAATTCTGTAACATAAATGGATCTGTGAATTGTATGCATGCTGCATGAAATCTGACAAAAACACTGCATGAGAAAAAATGAGGAAAAATATATGACAACATTGTCGAGAAGCAAGGCTTTAGAGAGGGCTCGACTTTGTGTTTCTGATTCTTATCTGCCCACAACGTCTTATTTTGGGAGGAAGCTTTTACAGCTTGGGTTTACAGCCCTCTCTCCCTCCAAATGGGGCCGTGACTGAGTGTGATGACCTCACCCTGCTTCTACTAAACTCTCTCTTACTCCTCTCCTCCCTCACCCCCTCTTGCTTTCTCATAGTCTGTGCGGGAGTGAAGCTGGAGTCACGTTCTCCACAGTTCCTGCAGTCTGCATCTCAAAAGTCTCTATGCAGTGTCTCAGACGACTTCAGAGTGGACCATTTTAGCTTTGTTGACTGACTTGGTTGACTTCAGACTTGCAGTTACCAGAAGAAGGATTCTTTTAAACAATGAGAATGATGTTTTATTGTTTTATTGTTATTTGTTCCTCAATCAGATGATTAAAGCAAGAACAGCAATGAAGAGGATCCAACCTTTTACTATTGGGACCAAGTTATCTGTCCCCTCCGAAAACAAATGTCTGGATTATGTGGGCAACATCCTTCCTGTACCAGTTCTGGACTGCTGTGAACTAAGAAACAACTCTAGCAATGACAATTCTCCTTTCCATGAGGAGAGATTGTCCACATCTACACCTGTGGAAGGACTTCCAGACGATATTAAAGAGGAAGATGACAGGGACTCTGTGTCCCCATCAGCTTCTTCCAGATCCATCAGGAAGATTGCGATGTGTGCAAATGCTGAAAGCCAGACTGTCAGTGACTTTAATGTGACAAACCATGAGACAAACAAGCCAAGTACTTCTACTGAAAAGCTGTTTCTTGTTGAGGAAAGATTGAGTGACAAGTCCGGTGCACAGCTGGAGGTGAGCAAGACATGAGCATGTGTTGGACATTATTTTCCTTAGCTGGAAAATATTTGCACATAGAGACATACAGTACAATTCATTTGTAATATTATTTTAACTTTTATTATATAAACCTATTATAATTATAGATTATGTATCAAATATATGATATATAAGATATATGATTGAATTAGATAAAGTATCAAACCAAATGGCGTTTAATTTTTAAGAAAGATTATTGCCAAAAGGTTTATTGGGTTATAAGTAATATATAAATTAATTAAATATTAAATTTAATTAAATTAAATTTTTGGTATTTTTTTAAATTAATACCAAATTAAATTAATATGTTAAATTATAATAATATAAAATTTAAATGATAACGTGTGCGTGTGTATATATACTGAATATATATCAACTTTATAATAAAATATAAATATACTTAATTATATATAGCAGTATTGATTAAGTATTCATTTTTATCATTTTTTATATCTTATCATTTATAATATACATCCCACTTTAATATTTTAAATTATTCTCATAGAAAGCAATTTTATACTCAACAAAAATAAAAACAAACAGACGAAAACAAACCAAACTCTAAATCTGGGATCGTAAGATAAACAGAGGATTATAAAAATATCATATCATAAACAACAAAAAAGCTTTTCCACACTTTTCAAATGTGAACATTTTTAGTTAGCTGGCATCATAAAAAAAAAATTTCACAGGCATCACAAACAACAGCACACACACCAGCTCCATATTTGTTATTCTCTCGGTCTCTCGCTGTTTTTTATGAGCTGTTTGTTAAATTGTTAATTACTGCCTGCCCATGCACACTCTCCACAAATGTCTGCAGTGAGTTTCCCACTGCAAAACTAGAAATGCAGCTTCTCATTGCACAAATGAGCACAACAAGAACACATTGTGTTATTGTGAGAGGAACTGCGTGGATTATTACAGTTTTGCACACTGTGCTCATTGAGATGAGGTCATAGCCAGGCCCCTCATTACACAAGCCCACATCCGAGATGAACTGGTAATTTCCACAAGAAAATGAGACGTAGTTCCAAACTGGAACACACAGGGAAGGATCTAAATCTAAACTGATGATCATGTTGAAACTATTGGTTGTGATGCACTTTGTGGCTAAAGAAGTACCAAATTATGTTACAGTTTTCCCCAACTTGTTCCCTTTTTTGTGTAAGTGGTAAAACAACACTATAAATGTTAAAGGGCAGAAGGTGGTTTGTGCACTCTTAAAGAATTTTGACACCATGTGCCGAAGATGCAGTCATCGCAGTGGTGCAGAAGACAAGTTAAGCAATGCAAGATCTGCAACATAAAACACCAGCACCGCTAGATGAGATCATTATTTGGAATTACCACACCTTGCTGCAGGCTCATGTATTGTTGGTGGGCCAACAGACTCAGATCCTGCTATTATTGTGTTTAACGCTATAAAATACATCATAAAAATCCCCCGGGTGTCCCAAACACAGGTGCATAATCATGAGGTGTTCGCTGTGGAGATATCTGATACCTCTGAAGATAATGTTTTGGCATATCATCTTGAAAGCAATCTTCTTGTATTAATTCGGTACTTAATCTGTACTTCATGTACCCAAACAAACAACATGATTTTATTGCCTAACAGCTGAGAAACTGCAAAAGAACCAGAACTTGGCGCACAAATCAAATTAGTTGCAGCAACATAGAATGATGTAAGACATTTTGGGAGATTTTCAAAATGAGAAATAGTCTGTCGGTCAAGGGTCTGTGAGGTCATTGGCCAAGAGCGCAGATGAAAACCATAACTGGTAGAACATTACTACTATAAAAAGACAATAGAATATTTTTAAATGAAAAATAAATTAATAGAAACACTTAAAATTAGGAAACTAAAAAAAGGTCTGAATCCACACATACTGGGAATAAAAAAAAGGTGTAGAATCTGTATTTTCAATCAAATTGCAAGTAACACATTGAATTCAATGTGAAATTTCAATTGAAATTTAAATGTACAAACTAAATACATTAATACTTCAACTGAAAACTGAAATAGTACTATTTGTCATTCGTACACTAACAATCATTGTTTAATTTACAACTTTGGCACAAAAAACAGCTCATATTCTATTTGCTATATATCTTTACAGACTGATCCATGGACTAAAGGAAGGAAGATAAGGAACCTTCATTACGACTACAGCACGCCAACTTTCCCACATGATCAACCAGAGGACGCGTCTCAGAGCCAAAGGAGAGACCTCAAAGACTTTGAGAACTCTCTCATCCAACTGACGACAAGTCTGGTCTTGATGCAGGTTAAATGCATCATAAAGAGGTTTCTGTTTTGTTTATTAATGTGTCTTCTTGTACCATTACCTCATGTACTCTTAATTCATCTCCTATGCCAGGAGGAACCAGAAAGACCTC